TTTTGTTTATTTGCCTTTGAACTTATTCTTTATGGACAAATCGATACCGGTATGTTTTCGAATGTGGTTTCTACTTCCTAGTGAAAAATGTCTGAGAATCTTTTAAAAGGTTTGAAGAGACTGGTATTTCTTCGGTATTCAAATGATCAGATCGAATCAAGTTTTCTATATTTATAGGGTCTTGTTTTCTGTGGGATTTCTCTGGTAAGAGATCTTTCATGTGGAAAAAATCAAAAGTTTCTTTGCGAAAATCTGGTGAAGTCCAGATCTGTAGGGGTCCTATAAACTGTAATGTTATAGTTCCCAGGGTTCGTTGGGCTGGCTATCTGAAAATTTTCAGTGTTTTCTGGCTCCTCATAGAATTGCTGGGCACTTTCATAAGAATTCGGGTAATATGCATCAGGCATATTATAATATTCGAAATATTCTCCATAAAATGAGTTAAAGTAATGAGATTGGTATTGATCAGCGAGATTTATGGCTTGATATTCTTCAGGAAGGCCTTCTGTAGGTATCAATATAATTCCTGGAGCATCAGTATCAGTGATTTCAACAGGCTGTTCTGTTTGGGTTTCATCAATTTGGTACAATTCTTGCGAAACGAAGTGTCGGAGGACTTGCATATTCTGATTTTGTAAAGTATATGGAAATCTTGTGGACATTGGTTCCGGTTTATTTGTGAGTACCTGTCCTGTTGGCTTGAATACAATTTTTCGGTGTGCCAAAAAACTGCTTATTAGTCGGGTAATTTCTTGGAATATATCGTAGTTGAATGTTTAAAGGGCCTATTGGAAATTTTTCAGCTTGAAAATTCTTGGTTTGATTGGGTATTTGGAATTGCATATTTTGTCTAAATTGAGTGTTGAAATTTGGCGTCCTATTTGCCGCTTGAAAATGGTTGTAATTCATTTTATTTGGGTAATTTTGATAGTAATTCGATGTTTGATGTTGGGTTTTATTACTTATAGGCTTTGTTTGCAAGGTGGGAGTTTTATTATAGATATTTTGCATATGGTCAAAATTGTCTTCTTCGTTCACTTCAGTCATGGCTATTTCGATACAATCAGGGTTTTTGAGTCTGATTATACTTTGTAGGTGTCCGAGTAAGCCTCTAATAAATGTACGTAAGCACACTTGATCATATTGTCTCAAGTAGGTTACTTTAGTGGCTGCATCCATAGTCGCAGGAAAAGTTTTAATTTTTTCAGCTAAAGCACTACATAATACTTGTAACATTTTAGCAGAGTCTAACGGATTTTTATTTTCATTTGGTACTGCCATAAACAGATCTTGTTCTAGGCATTCCAAATTTCTTTTTTCACCGAAGCAAGCAAATAAAACAGCTTTGATATGATCCCAACAATCGAGTTCCATTCTGCTTCCTACTAATATTTGAGCACGATCTGTTAATTTGATTCCAACATTTCTCGAGAGATAGTGGTTTTAAATTGGGTCATTCGAAACTGTTTAGCATACTAGGATCATCGCATAATAGTGTCTGCATACATTTTTAATAAAGTGTAATTTACCGTTGTGGGTACTGGTGAGTTTGGCATCGTGTTCACTATCGTCACTCTCGATCATCAAAATTTAAGATATTTATTTATACAAATGAGTATTTACTAGTTATAGAATAGAAATTGATATACGAATAAATTTGAAAATTGAGAAAGTAATAATATCAGTAACTTATTTAAAATTTTCACGGTTCCTAACCAGGTAATATGGAAATTGGGCAACAGGAATAATTGGACATATATAACATTCATTGTTAGCTTCGCACTCCTCATAGACTTTTTTATATCTTTTGTCTTTTTATTTTTCAGAACTGTTCTAAAGCAGTCTAGAATGAACATCGGTTTTAAAACGTAAATGTGTGATGGATCTCTAATTATAGAATGTATATTTTCTTTTTTGATTATGTGCTAACACTCTAAGTTTAATAAAACTTCGCACAACTCTTCCGTATCTGTGGCATGAAAATCACTAAGGGCCATTTTGTAGTGTCTGCATCTACTCGTAATCAAAGCTCAAAAGTCCTTCTGTTACATCAGATATTTATTTTGCAATCATGGCATATTCAATAAATGGTTTAGGTAATCGTATGGGAAAATACTTTTTCTGATGATAGCCAATTAAGAGAATTTTACTTATTGCTGTCTTTATTCTATTGTACTTTTGAGGTAGCCTTCCACACAATGATTCGTAAAATTAATTCCAATACTCGAACAGCGCATCTTTCAAAACTCCTCCTCCATCGAGCGCTAGTTCTTTGACGCCATTGGCCCAATAATTTCTATTTCAATTCGTAAATTTTCTACATTTTAAATGTAGAAAGTCCTATGAAATCTGGAAAAAATAGGTATGGTCTCTAATTATACAAAAAAAGGCGAAGTACATACCAATTCTGATGCCTAAGGAGTCTTTAAGATGGGCCATTCTTCAATAAAGTTTGCAATTGTTTCTGTAATACAAATCTCAAATTTTCCTTATCGAATGTGAATTTTTCCAATGTTTTATTACTTTGGCAGTGGGTTCGTTATTTATACATATACATATATATATATACATATTATAACATATATAACATATAAATAACAGTAATGTTAGTCAGTCAGTTGAATAGCGGAACTGTGCTGGACAGGACAACCCATTTAGGACTGCTCCATGGTCTATGGCTTTGTCGGATTATTCCTTCATCTAACATTTTGTTTATTTGCCTTTGAACTTATTCTTTATGGACAAATCGGTACCGGTATGTTTTCGAATGTGGTTTCTACTTCCTGGTGAAAAATGTCTGAGAATCTTTTAAAAGGTTTGAAGAGACTGGTATTTCTTCGGTATTCAAATGATCAGATCGAATCAAGTTTTCTATATTTATAGGGTCTTGTTTTCTGTGGGATTTCTCTGGTAAGAGATCTTTCATGTGGAAAAAATCAAAAGTTTCTTTGCGAAAGTCTGGTGAAGTCCAGATCTGTAGGGGTCCTATAAACTGTAATGTTATAGTTCCCAGGGTTCGTTGGGCTGGCTATTTGAAAATTTTCAGTGTTTTCTGGCTCCTCATAGAATTGCTGGGCACTTTCATAAGAATTCGGGTAATATGCATCAGGCATATTATAATATTCGAAATATTCTCCATAAAATGAGTTAAAGTATTGAGATTGGTATTGATCAGCGAGATTTATGGCTTGATATTCTTCAGGAAGGCCTTCTGTAGGTATCAATATAATTCCTGGAGCATCAGTATCAGTGATTTCAACAGGCTGTTCTGTTTGGGTTTCATCAATTTGGTACAATTCTTGCGAAACGAAGTGTCGGAGGACTTGCATATTCTGATTTTGTAAAGTATATCGAGATCTTGTGGACATTGGTTCCGGTTTATTTGTGAGTACCTGTCCTGTTGGCTTGAATACAATTTTTCGGTGTGCCAAAAAACTGCTTATTAGTCGGGTAATTTCTTGGAATATATCGTAGTTGAATGTTTAAAGGGCCTATTGGAAATTTTTCAGCTTGAAAATTCTTGGTTTGATTGGGTATTTGGAATTGCATATTTTGTCTAAATTGAGTGTTGAAATTTGGCGTCCTATTTGCCGCTTGAAAATGGTTGTAATTCATTTTATTTGGGTAATTTTGATAGTAATTCGATGTTTGAAGTTGGGTTTTATTACTTATAGGCTTTGTTTGCAAGGTGGGAGTTTTATTATAGATATTTTGCATATGGTCAAAATTGTCTTCTTCGTTCACTTCAGTCATGGCTGTTTCGATACAATCAGGGTTTTTGAGTCTGATTATACTTTGTAGGTGTCCGAGTAAGCCTCTAATAAATGTACGTAAGCACACTTGATCATATTGTCTCAAGTAGGTTACTTTAGTGGCTGCATCCATAGTCGCAGGAAAAGTTTTAATTTTTTCAGCTAAAGCACTACATAATACTTGTAACATTTTAGCAGAGTCTAACGGATTTTTATTTTCATTTGGTACTGCCATAAACAGATCTTGATCTAGGCATTCCAAATTTCTTTTTTCACCGAAGCAAGCAAATAAAACAGCTTTGATATGATCCCAACAATCGAGTTCCGTTCTGCTTCCTACTAATATTTGAGCACGATCTGTTAATTTGATTCCAACATTTCTCGAGAGATAGTGGTTTTAAATTGGGTCATTCGAAACTGTTTAGCATACTAGGATCATCGCATAATAGTGTCTGCATACATTTTTAATAAAGTGTAATTTACCGTTGTGGGTACTGGTGAGTTTGGCATCGTGTTCACTATCGTCACTCTCGATCATCAAAATTTAGGATATTTATCATACAATTACAAATGAGTATTTACTAGTTATAGAATAGAAATTGATATACGAATAAATTTGAAAATTGAGAAAGTAATAATATCAGTAACTTATTTAAAATTTTCACGGTTCCTAACCAGGTAATATGGAAATTGGGCAACAGGAATAATTGGACATATATAACATTCATTGTTAGCTTCGCACTCCTCATAGACTTTTTTATATCTTTTGTCTTTTTATTTTTCAGAACTGTTCTAAAGCAGTCTAGAATGAACATCGGTTTTAAAACGTAAATGTGTGATGGATCTCTAATTATAGAATGTATATTTTCTTTTTTGATTATGTGCTAACACTCTAAGTTTAATAAAACTTCGCACAACTCTTCCGTATCTGTGGCATGAAAATCACTTAGGGCCATTTTGTAGTGTCTGCATCTACTCGTAAAACAACAATAAATGGTTTAGGTAATCGTATGGGAAAATACTTTTTCTGATGATAGCCAATTGAGAGAATTTTACTTATTGCTGTCTTTATTCTATTGTACTTTTGAGGTAGCCTCCCACACAATGATTCGTAAAATTAATTCCAATACTCGAACAGCGCACCTTTCAAAACTCCTCCTCCATCGAGCGCTAGTTCTTTGACGCCATTGGCCCAATAATTTCTATTTCAATTCGTAAATTTTCTACATTTTAAATGTAGAAAGTCCTATGAAATCTGGAAAAAATAGGTATGGTCTCTAATTATACAAAAAAAGGCGAAGTACATACCAATTCTGATGCCTAAGGAGTCTTTAAGATGGGCCATTCTTCAATAAAGTTTGCAATTGTTTCTGTAATACAAATCTCAAATTTTCCTTATCGAATGTGAATTTTTCCAATGTTTTATTACTTTGGTGGGTTCGTTATTTATTTTATAAAATATTTAACTGTTTCTGTGGGATTGTGATGAAACGGAAAAGATATTAGAAAATAAATAGTAATCAATATTTATTTTTTTTCATAAATACCTTCATCTTCAACGTTATTCATTCCATTTGGTAGTATTTGACAACAGTCATAGCAAATGCAATAAATTTTTTTGTTTGTTAATTAATTTTCCTCGGGCCCTTTCTAAATGCTGTCTGGCAGAAATATTTTTGCGTGGCAGGCACATAATAAATAGGATTTTTTCTCGAGGAAAAATCTCTGTAATTTTTTCAGATAGATTCTGGAAATCATTACTCGATAATTTTCCAATTTTATTCATTAGAGGTCTCCCCAGCAAGTCAGCCAATCGATCACGGTCAACATTAGCCAAACCTTCTCCTTGAGCTTTTACTAATAAAGCTTGGGGCCAAAAATGTCGGTTTTTATAAATTCACTTAGGTCAAAATTATTTTAAAACAGTTCCTGATGAGCGAAACGATGTGTTAAAACTTGATGAGGCCAAATCGCTTCCAGATATACTGTTTCTGTTGTAGTTGTAAATATCAAATCCTGTTAACTGAAATCTATTTCTTTGCTCGTTCATTGATCATCAGCATCAGGTACTATTATTACTGGTAAATTTTGAATATCTAGAAATTGGGATCGATTGTGTGTCCTGTAAAAACTGGCAACAAGGCCGACATGCCTTTTTATACGCGATCTTTGCGTAATTTTTGACCTCGGCTCCCACATTATTAGACAATAATTAATTGAGAACGATTTTGGTAATTATCTATTATCGCTGGTCAGAAATCTGAAGTCAATTTTTGTCGCTTGCGTTTCGTATTTGAAATATCCATCCTAGAAGATTTTATGTTGCATCATTTTATGTTTTATCTCCTATGATTTCGCTAATTTTTTGCACAAAGGTATATTTTTCGTCGCTGATCACGAATATGAAGTCAGTTTTTGAGCGACATATCGAAAGACCGTCATAGTAAAAGAGCAACATTTAAAACGGCGAAATCTTGACAAAACATCGACAATCAAAATCCGTAGATTGATGTGCATCATTTTAATTTAATTTGATTTCAATCATTGATAGTGTACGTATTCTGAATGATATAATTCAAAAAAAGTATCTCACGTTAAACTTCGTGCAGTGGTCTATATACTCAGCCAAGGTACGTTTGCACAAGTCTTTTTTAAGGGATGAATTTTGCCAAAATACAAAATAAAATCCACGCAGTTTGATTTGCAATAAGGTCGAAAATTTCTTGAATTCGATCCTACAAAACGTACTCGCACAAAACAATTATATTCCACACGTGACGATAAAATTCCATGTTATAATCAATAATATCATGCCTATGACAACCGATTAATTATTTGCGAAACTAACAGCAGCGAACGTGGTTCAAACCAAGACACTAGCAGAAAAAATAGACACTGTTATAGAACAAGTGGACACCGAAATTACAGAGTGTAACAATCATATTTTGAAATTAAATTCTAGAGCCTTGCTTCACGAACGCAAGCTGCGAAAAAATAATATTATCGTTTTTGGAATACCACGATGCAGTGACATCCTAAACAACACGATTTCTGCTCTCAACAACCTACTCGGAGTGGATATTAAAGTTGATGATATCAATAACATTACTCAGCTAGGGAACACCGCTAATTCCCCAATACTCATTGAATTCATCTCTTTTTTGAAAAAATCATCCTTATTTGGGCACGTATCCAAACTTAAAGGAACCAAAATATCTATAGCGAATGATCTCTGTCCGGAGGATAGGGAAAATCATAGAATCCTCGTGAAATATTTAAAAGAAGCGAAAGGTCGTAACTTGAATGCTAAGATTAAAGGTAATAAGCTGGTGATTGATGATACTGCCTATTCTATCGAAGACCTAGAAGCCATGCCCGAAAGTGAAGCCGAAATATCCGACTCGGAAACTATTGGTACCGGCAACAATTTACTATCCCAAGCTGCAGGAAATCAATCGAGCCCTGAACAAACTGTGAAAAAAAGAAAACGTGTGAAGATCATTCCAGGTCAAGAACAAGTTAAAAACGCATTTGACAGAATACTTACGATAAACTTTTCGAAAAATAATACCTAATCTATATTATTCTATTTAGTATAGTCGAGTATGTCTTTCAATTGCTGCCACATTAATGTCCGTTCCTGGACATCTAATTTTCAGGAATTTAAGAGCACTGTTCACAATAAATATGATATTATCTCTGTGTCAGAGACATGGCTTAGTGCAGGTATTTTGGATGAGTTGATCTATCTTAAAGGCTATAAACTTTATCGTCGTGATAGGACTAGCGGAAGAGGGGGTGGTGTTGCAGTGTATGTGCGGTCGAAGTTCAAATCTAAAATATTCGCACTAAATAAAGCGTGCGGCAGTGAACAGCTTTGGATCGTCGTTAAATATTTAAATTGTCAGTTTGGTATCGGTACTCTTCACCGGCCTCCGAAATGTTCTGCTGCTGATTTTGTGGTAGAACTCGAAAACGAACTTGGTGCAATAGATCCTACGTGCAACTCGCTTATATTAATGGGAGATCTTAATATCGACTTGCTAGACTTGAATAATTGTAATTCAAGATGCTTATGCAATCTGTTTGAAACCTTTGCTCTGAATCAAATAATAAAAGAGCCAACGAGATACAGCCCGACTTGCGCCAAGCTATTAGATATAATTGCAGTTTCTGATAATCTTCCAAAAGTAAACGCCAGAGTCTTGGACGCTTGTAATGTTGCTGATCACTGTCTTGTCTCATGTAGCATATTTAACTCCAAAGTCAAAATTGAACCGTTTGAATATACATTTCGTGATTTTAGAAGCTTCAATAACGCCGCCTTTAATTCCGACCTCGATCTAATGGATTTCTCACGTGTCCTCGATGCGGTGGATGTTGATTCGAAAATTGAGGTGTTCAATTCCACCATTTTAAGCCTTTTTGACTTCCATGCTCCTATAAAAACTGTACGGATTTCTAAGCCAAGGGCTCCATGGCTTACTGTTGCTATAAAAATGATGATCAATGAGAGGGACAAAGCGTTACGTAAATTCAAAACAACAAAGAACTTGAACGATTGGAATTTCTATAAAACGGTCCGCAATGAAGTTAATTATGCGATCAAACGTGAAAAGAAAGCTTATTTTCAATATACATTCAGTACTGTAGATAAAAATAGGTTATGGAGAGAATTAAGAACTTTAAATTTAAATTCAAAAAAGTGTAATGCCGACATCCCAAACAACCTGCACAATCCAACATTACTGAATAACTTTTTTTGAGCAGTGCCAATAATTGTTCTGCAGATAGCACAACAATTGATTTTTTTAAGAGCAATAAGCTCGACGATTTGAATAGTTTTGATTTTCGGCTTACTAACGAAAATGAAATTTTTAATGCACTTCTTTCCATTAAATCGAATTCTACTGGAGCTGATGGAATAAGTAATAAAATGCTTTAACTGTGCTGTCCAATTTTGGCACACATCTTTAGCTTTAGTTTTTTAAATAATTCTTTTCCTGCCATATGGAAAAAATCTATAGTTCTGCCACTTCCCAAAATTACTAATCCCGAGAAGCCTAAAGATCTAAGGCCTATAAGCATTCTTTGTGTTCTATCTAAAACGCTTGAAAAGCTCATGGAAGTTCGCATAAGATGCTTTGTTGACCGCTGTAATATTCTTCCACAACATCAATCTGGCTTTCGAAAGGGACACAGCTGCTTCACAGCATTGACAAAGGTAACCGACGATATCCAATTGGCCACAGACCAGAATAAACTTACTCTGCTTGTTTTAATCGACTACTCTAAGGCATTTGACTGTATCAGCCACAAGCTGCTTATTAATATTTTACTGTATCTAGGTTTTACTGCAAATTCAGCTGATATGCTATATTCTTATTTAACCGAAAGACAACAAGCAGTAAGGGTACAGAGCATGATGTCTAGCTATAAACTTGTTACTAGCGGAGTACCTCAAGGCTCTGTGCTTGGCCCTCTCTTGTTTACCTTATATACATCGCAATTATCAAATGCGCTCCTGCACTGCACTCACACTACTATGCAGATGACACACAAATATATTTATCTTTTAATTCTTCGGAAGTGGACTTAGCCTGCTCGAAAATAAATAGAGATCTGAAATTTCTGGTTACAATCTCAAAGAAATATGGTCTAAGTATCAATGCAGCCAAATCACAAGTTATGCTTTTCGGTAGAACAGTGGCGCGGAATACTACGCAAACTAAATTAAATATTTTAATTGACGATCAGAGACTATCACTTACTAATGTGACAAAAAATTTAGGTCTTATGTTGGACAATAATCTAAATTTTGACCAACACGCAACCCTAATCATAAAAAGAGCTTTTGGTACTCTAAAATGTTTATATCCAAATCGACATTTTTTTACTAGGCAAATTCGGACAATGCTATGCGAATCCTTAGTTTTGTCGCATCTTAATTATGGCGATGTAGTGTATGGGCCTAATTTACGGCGTGTTGACGCGAAAAGAATTCAACTCATACAGAATGCCTGTGTGAGGTTCATATGCGGCCTAAGCAAGGGTAGTCGTGTGTCAGGGCCACGTAAAGATCTTGGCTGGCTTAATATGGAAGATCGTAGAGAGCTTCATGTGTTGGTTTTCTATCATAAGAACCTACATATATATATAATAAACTGAAGTATAGAACCTCCATCCACAATATCAACGTCCGCCGAAAAAATGATCTTACTACTACTTACCTAGACATTTTACGACACAATTTCGAGGCTCCTTCTCATATAATGCTCCCACACGATATAATAAAATTTCTGCAGGCTTAAAAAATCTAAATGTAACTTCGTTTAAGCGTAGGGTAAAATCAATGCTTCTTAGCAGAAATTAGTTTAAAGCTGACTATAGGTATATACATATACAGTGACCGCCAAAAAGTTTGCAACAAATGGGAAAATATTTTATTATTAAGATATCAAAAAGGATGTTACGTGGGATCAATTCAGCATACCTATCAACAAAAAAAAGCACTGTGACAGATGTCATGTGACCACCGTTATGGCGGGAAATTTGAAAAGTTCGCCTTAAATATGTAAAAAGTGGGATTAGATGACCAGAAATCGAGAAATTGTAGAAAGAAAAGTGGTTCAGGATTCGATTTTACGTCCATTTGTCAATTTTTGAAAAGGTACAAGGATTTTTAATAAATATCAATTTTTTGGTCTGTTTTCTGGTAATTTGAAGAATATCAAAAACTTTTCGCAAAAATATTGGTTTGATTGAATTTAGAAAAGAGGTATTGGATCATTTAGAACGATTTTATGATATTTCCAAATTTGTTATTCCAAATTTTTGTTTTCTGTAGGTCATTGCAACAAGACCAGAGTGGTCTGAAAATCAATTTTTGGTTTTTTACAGTTTTCCGCGGAACAATTAAGCAGAATGATTGCACTGAGTTTTTTTTTTGTTAGTTTCACTTTGAATTTGAACCAAGCGAAAAGTTTTTGAAAATTTTCAAATTACCAGAAAACAGGCCAAAAAATTGATATTTATTAAAAATCCTTGTACCTTTTTAAAAATTTACACATAGACGTAAAATCAAATTCTGAACCACTTTTCTCTCTAAAATTTTTCGATTTCTGGTCATCTAACCCCACTTTTTACATATTCAAGGGAAACTTTTCAAATTTCCCGCCATAACTATTGTCACATGACATCTGTCAAAGTGCTTTTTTTTGTTGATGGGTATGCTGAATCGACCCCCCGTAACATTCTCTTTGATATCTTAATAATAAAATATTTTCCCATTTGTTGCAAACTTTTTGGCGGTCACTGTATATATGGGTAGGTAATAATAATAATATAGATCCACTTATTTTTATTTTTATTAATTTCTCATTTTTCTAATTTTAAGTTTGGGATACTCCTGTTATAATATGTTTCACTCTGGAGTGTGTTTACTGTATCGTTAAATAGTTCTAAGTAGTCATACTAAGCCGGTTCCCGAGCGGAAGTGACCTGTCATTCGTTCTGGGGCCCGCGCCCGTCATCAGAGAAGTCCCAAATTGAAGGGGCTCAACCCAGGTGGGCCTGTGCCCCATTCCAGGGCCCCATTTTTGTCGTGGGCCCCATTTTTCGTCAAGTGGAGGGGCCTAACCCAAGTGACGTCATCAAAGGGGCCACATGCTTGTCCCCGTTGCTAGACCCGTGGCCCCATTTTTTCGTGGGCCCCATTTTTTTGGCAAGCCCCAATTTAAAGAGGCCTAACCTAAGTAGCAAGCCCCCAATTTGAATAGACCTAACCCAATAAGTGACGTCATCAAAGGGGCCATACGTGCTTGTCCCCGCTGCTAGACCCGTGGCCCCATTTTTTTTTTTCGGGGGCCCCATTTACATGAACTCATAACCTGAAATGAGATACCCCATACGAGATGACAGGTACGTGCGACGTTGCCGAAACTGATAATGTGCGACGTTGCCAATAAAATTTCCCTAAATCTAGGGAAAAATCGGAAAGGGGCCACTTGTCTCCGCAGCTAGACCCGCGGCCCCATTATCCATTATCGTATATGGAACCAATACAGGCCCCCAAATTTTGAGGCGCACGTAGCCTAGAACTCATAACCTGAAATTTGATGTCCCATATATCTCGTGCTGGTAATTTGAAATTTGTACAACGTACCTAGAACTCATAACCTGAAATTTGATACCGCGTATCTCGTACCTGGTACCTCGTACCTGGTACCTCGTACCTGGTACCTCGTACCAAGATACGCCGTACTGGGCCCCCTTTTTTCGTCGTCGTCGGCCCCATTTTTCTAAACTAAAAATATGGTCACATAAAAGACAACATCATCATCATCATCATCATTGAAAAAATAGTGCTCCAATTTGGGCCCCATTTTTCACGGACTTGTAACGATTCAATTGGGGGGCCCCAAATATTATTTTTAAAATAATTATAATTTCTACCGTTCTCATAAACAAACAACAAGAAGAACAGCAACTTGTGTGCGAACTTGCTTATCACACGGAAGCCGCATTTCCTGCGACGATAACGAAACGCAGCTGGCTGGCCTGCTAGTTGTTGTTATTCATTTTCAAATTTTAGTTAGATTTTAACTTCCCTAGAGGTGACACAACGTTTTTCTTCAGTGCTCCTCATCCAGATCGAATTTTTCAACGAGAACTTAATTCAAAATTGGACGTTACCTCAGTTATAATTGATTGTGTGTGTGTATTTAGTGCTAAAAACTATGTAAGTAATTTTTTTCATTATTCTTAAAGACCCTGATAATAATACGTTGTTCTATTTTTAGTTTCATAATAGAATCAAAATTTAGCCACTTTGAGGTTTGAGCTCTGGAAACGTGTCTTTGAAATTGTAAGTATATTATTTTTATTATATAGCATACAGTACATTTTTTCTCTTTTTTTAGATCTGCTCATCCAGATCGAATTTTTTCAACGGAAACCTAATTCAAAATTGGGCGTTGTCACATTTACAATAATTGATTGTGTGTATTTAGTGTTAAAACTATGTAAGTAATTTTCTCATTATTCTTAAAGACCCTGAT